GTAGTCTCTTGCCCACAGCCACAGGGGGCTTTCTGAGGATATAAATGGGATCTGTGCCCTTGCTCTGGACCACCAGTAGCTTCCCAGTCAGCCCACCGCAGCACACGCTCCCCCACGCGGCCCGCTTGGTCTGCTGGCCCCCTGCACCCTGCGGTCCTCTCCTCCCTTCCCGGCCACCGCCAAAGTCCTTCCCTCTGCCTGGAATTTTATCTCGCTCCAGACCTCTGTGTGATCTGTGCCCCCTTCGCTTTCGATGTTAAATTTGGGCCAAGCACACCCCTGCTGCCCAGCGCGCTGGGGTCTAGGGGAGCAGCCAGGATTGAGGTGTCACGTGACTTCATGCTGCCTTATCTGTCTTTGACGTTCTCGCTTGCCGTTCTGGGATGCTGTCCGTCCCGGCTTGGCCGCTTCTGGCCCCAGAGCTTAAGACCTCTTGTTCCCTGGTCGGTCTTGGTGTGGGCTCAGCCCAGGAGGATCCCCAGCTCCTCAGGGGCCCTGTGCCGGGTGTGCGAGGGCCAGTGCAGAGAGGGGAGACACACTGGCTTCACGCCTTCTGGGCCACTGAGCATGGAGGAGTTTCCTGTGATTGTGTCAGCGTGGGATGGAAACAGATCCAGAGATGTTTGGAAGTAAAATCCCCTCCTTGCTCCCCTCTGAACTGTGCATCCTTTCACCCCAGAGGACGGTCTTTCTCTTCCCAGCATGGGAGACTGAGAGAAAGGGGTCCACGGTGGAGGATGCGCCTGGCCGCAGCCCAGGGGGCCAGCGGGGCGGGAGGCGCAAGGCCTGGCGGGCGGCTGCCAGGGAGGGCCTGGCGGGCAGCGGCGCTCGCATCTGCCGTGCTCGCTTTAGTTGTACTTACACGTGTGCGGGTGTTTTATTTTATTTTATTTTAAAAAAATTTTTATTTATTTGAGAGCGACAGCATGAGTGGGGAGGAGAGGGAGAAGCAGGCTTCCTGCTGAGCAGGGAGCCCGATACGGGGCTGGATCCCAGGACCCTGGGATCACAACCTGAGCCGAAGGCAGAGGCTTCACCGACTGAGCCCCCCAGGCGCCCTCACATGCGTGTATTTTAACCAAGCATTTCCAAGTGCATTACAGGTATCACAGCCGCACCTCGAAGTAACACAGAGACGTCTGAAACACAAACCACCGCCTCCTACTGTCACCCAGCGGCCCGCCCTTGTCCAGACACCCCCCCCCACCCAATCCCTGCATGTTTCCGTGGGGCGTGCTGCTTCCACGCACGGGGCGCTCACGTTTCTAGGGGAGGGTAGTGGAGGGGAACCCGCTCTTGTTTCTCCAAGGGCAGAACGTTCCTCCTCTTTCTTTCCTGCCGCCCTCCACCCACCTCCCCCTCTTTCTGCAGCAGGCTTACGGAGCTCTAATTCACCGGTAGAGTTCGCCCACTTAACGCGTACAATTCCGTGGTCTCTAGTGTGTTCCCAGCGTCGCGTGACCATCCACACGGTCAGTTTCAGAACATTTCCATCCATCACCCCACAAAGGAACCCCAGACCTCAGCCTTCTGTGTCTGCTTCCCTCCCTGAGTACATGGCTCAGCATCTGTCCCCTAGGGCAGCGTGTCAGCGCCTTACTCCTGTTCATGGCCGGTGGCTTACCTGTGGTGGGGACACGCCGTGGGCATCCATTCATCCATCAGTGGACACTTGCGTTGTTTCTGCCTTTTGGCCGTCGTGGCCAGTGCTGCTGGGAACATGGCTGCACATGTTTTTGTGTGGACGCACATTTTTATTTCTCTTGGGCCCTTTCGATGCATAGGATTGCTCGGTCATCTGGTAATTCTCGGTGTGACTTTCTGGGGACCATCAGGCTGTTTTCCTCAGTGGCCGCCCCATCTCCCCTGCTGCCCCCAGCTGTGTGTCAGGGTTCTGATTTCTCCACATCCTCCCCAGCACTAGTTGTATGTTTTTTTTGTTTTCGTATTTTGTTTTGTTTTTGTTGTTTTGATTACAGCCATCCCGGTGGGGGTGAAGCATTTGCCCTCGCGGTCTGGGTTTGCGTGGCCTTGAAGGCTAATCCTGTAGATGGTCATTCTGCGCGCTGGTTAGCCGCGTGCGTATTTCCATCAGAGACATTAACCGGGCCGTTCGTCTTTTTCTCATCCCGTTGGGAATGCGCCTGCTCTCCAGCGTGTCACCGACCTGTGGAGAGCTCAGTGGTCTTTCCGGAGTGGCCTCCATGGTCTGTCAGGGCGCCGCTCACTTGGTCCTCTGCCCCCGCCGTGTTTCCAGTGTACCGGGAGGTTGGCCCGGGGCTGCTGTTTGTCGAGATTCCTTTTTCATTTCTTAAGTACGTACATGTATGATTTTTATTTGCCTGCCTTCAAAAAAACGTGTGAAGGGTATGGAGTGTGAGGATTGTAAAACCATTTTAATTTTCTTCTTTATATTTACCTACTCAAAACCTTCATTTCCAAAGGCACAAATAAGGCAGAGGAAAAAATCACACATAATCCGCCACTGAGCTGCGTCTGGGCGATGCCGGGGTCGGAGTGAAGCGTGTCTCGCTACTGCACATGTGCAGAAGCCCCACCTGCTGTCTTCTCATCTGCTCTCTCCACCTCCGAGACGGGAAACTCATCTCTGCATCGTGACTTGCGATGCGCGAGGGAGCTCGTGTGGGCAGGACCCCGGGCTGCCCCGGCGCCGCCTGGGAGGAGCTGGTCCTGGGGACATGGTGGGTGTACCACACAGCGCCCTCTGCCCCCCACACCACCCCACCATGCCAGGTGGCTGACGGCCCAGGGGCAGCCCCCACTGGAGGTGACACTGCTGGTCCCCAGGCGCTCAGAGGAGCCTGTGTGCCCTCCCCTGTAGGCCACGCGTGAGCCAGCCTGGGAGAAGCAGCCAGCTGGCCAGGACCGGCCGGACCAGATCTGGAAGCTGTTGGGCTGGGGACTCGGGCTGTACCACCTGCCTGTGTGTGGCCTGGACACGTGATTTCCCCGGTGGCCTCTGTGAGCTGTGTGAAACGAGCTGCTTGTGTGGAGGGGATGAGTTGCCCATATCCGTCATGTACAACAGGGCTGGGAACTGTTCCGTGCTCATATGCCCGCTGCCCGCCAGCCTGGGCACCGTCTGTGGCAGGCTGAGGGCTCAGGACCAGGGGCAGTGACCAGGGCGACCATATCCAGCCAGAGGCGGGGTAGCTCACCTGCACAGGTTGGGTGGTTGGTGGGGTCCCCTGGGGGCTAGCTGCGCTGTGTGGTGGCGGGGTGTAGGGGTGGCGGGCGTGGGCGGCCCGTGGGCTGCGGGCCGAGGAAGGCCGATGAGCGGTAGCTGCAGTTTGGCCTCGAGTTCGAGCTGGTGTCCCATGTGTCACCTGAGGTCCCTGCCTGGGGAGGTCTTGCCACCACCCCTCCCTTCTGTGGCTCCCTGCACAGCTGACAGCCCAGCTCAGGCCATGCTGATGCTCCCAAGAGTGTCAGAGTCAAGGGCATTCCCCAGGCCATGAACTCCCCCGCGACAGATATGCTGTGTGCTGCTGCCAGCTGCGGAGGCCGTAAGCGAGCCCCACAGGGTGGCATCTGGGCCGGAGGGGAGAGGCCGGGTGGTTTGGGGGCTTGGGTGGGGATGCAGGTGCCGGGTCCGGGCTGCAGGCGAGGGGCTGGGTTGGGATGGCGTGGTGGTCAGTCCCAGGGCTGTCAGGGTTCCCGTGGGGCCGTCTCCTTGCTGGGCAGCCTGGCTGTGGCCTGGGTCCTGTGATGCCTGCTGCTCTGGAGGGACGCTGGTGACAACCCCTTTCCCTTTACAACACTGTTTCCATGGGGGTTTCCTGTGATTCCACCCAGAACTGTTGTCACACAGTGCCACGCAGTCTTGCTTGGTGGCTGCCCCTCAGGGAGAAGCCTGGGGACTTGCTGTGTACACGAGGCAGAGGCCCGTGGTGGGGTCCCAGCCCAGGATAGCAGTGGCCCCCTGCGTCAGGACTCTCAGGAGCCCTTAGTGGCAGGCAGTCTGTCATTGGAGCAGGGCCTTAGTGCTGTCCTCCAGGTTCCAGCGCTGTCACTGCAGGGGGAGGGTTGGGGTGTTGAGGGCAGGGCCCGGAAGTGGTGCCTGGGGCCCCCAGAACCTACCCAGCAGATACCACGGGTCCTAGCTGCGCTTTCTGGGCTCATGCTGCCCTCTAGTGCCTGTGAGGGGGAGTGCCTCAGGGAGGCTGCGGCCGCATATTGGCGACACTGGAGCCCCCTTCCAGGGCCAGCGGACTTCCTGCCCTTTGCCCCGCTTACTGGGGTGGGGTGGGGGAGTGTCACAGGAAATTGGGTTTGGCTAATTGTCTTCGGGGCTCTCGGGTCTGTATGCCCTTGGGTTCTGACCTTTTCCAGGGGACCCTTCCCCAGAGTCGGTCCCCAAGCTCTTCTTGCTTGGGATGGGTCCCCGACTGCCTTGCTGGGTCCCCTTAACTCCTGGAACAGGAGGGGGCCGCCATAGTGTGTGTGTCCTCCTCCCCAAGAGGAGCTTGTCCCCAGCCTCTCTGCAGGCTCCTGTAGTGAATCTCGGGGCCGACATCTCAGCCCAGCTCTCGGCTCCTATGCGGAAACTTTCAGGCGCGGTTGCAGCTGAGGGTGACAGTCCGGCGCCCAGCCTCATTCCCCTCCGAGGGCCCGTCACACGGTGGGCTGCTGTCGGCGGGGGCATCCGGCCCCCAGGTGCACACGCTGATTTGAAGCTGCCGCCGGCACACCTGGACGAAAAGGCCCCGACCAGGAAAGCTTGTCTTTCTCGGGGCCCCGGCTTGAAATCAGCGCTCCGGCTTCCAGGGTTGCGTTGGCTCGGAGAACTAGGGCGCCTCTGTTTTCAATTATCTGCAGCCCTCTCGGTTTTCTGTGCCAGCGCGGAGAGATGGAGTTGGCTCCCAGGCTCCTCGAGGCGCGGCCCCTGCCTTTGTCTTCCCGAGGCCGTGGGTATTTTTAGTAGGACCGGACAGGTGGCGGCACTGGTGCGCTCACGCTCTCTTGTCCTCTCCTCGCAGGTGTGACAGCTTCTCCACGGCAGTCATGGGGTCTGAGGATCATGGGGCCCAGAACCCGAGCTGTAAAATCATGACGTTTCGCCCAACCATGGAGGAATTTAAGGACTTCAACAAATACGTGGCCTACATCGAGTCCCAGGGAGCCCACCGGGCGGGCCTGGCCAAGGTGGGTGATGCCCCAGGCCCAGTGCCGCCTTCCACCGGCTCGGCTCTGCGTGGAACCCTGCGTCCCCAGGCCTGGCATGGTCACCAAGCCGCTCTCATCTCGTTGTCACCAAGCCGCTCTCATCTCGTTGTCAATAGATGTTATGGAGTTCCTCCCATGCACCAGGCTCTCTCGTAGGCCTGGCCGCAGACATGAGCCCCGCAGCCCCTGTCCCCGTGGGGGGCCGATGGCCGGGACCAGCCCCTAGGGGTAATGGATCCCTAGGGCCTCGTGGTGGTGCCACACAGCGCGGCTCACCCCATGGTGGGTGGCAAGAGGAGGGTGTCGGGAGTCGGGGAAGTCTTTCAGGGAGACTCGTCCCCGTGAACCGTGTCTCTTCCCGTGGCATTGTGCGCCTGTCCGAGCCTGCGCATGGTGTGCGAGCACACAGACAAGTGTAGCCCATGTTGCTTTTTACTGTGAACGCTTCACAGGAAGCTGTGAGTGTGGCACTGCTCGCCCGATCATTTGGAGCGTTTGTAACCTGCTTGTCGTGTGGTCTGGTGGCTGCCTGTGTGCCTAGCTCTTCCTCCGAGGTGCCTTGTTTTCTGTTCTTAAGAGAAGAGCGAGGGGTCAAGGAATTTTTTCCACAAAGAGCCTCGTGGGCGGGGCCGTCTCTGTGCCCCCGCTCAGCCCCACACTGAGGAGACCTGGGAGCCGGTAGGCGGCCACTCAGTCTGCACTTACTTAATGTGAATTTCACGGGACTTTCACTGGTCCCCAAACATTCTTGTTTTATTGTTTTTTTTCTCTAATTGAAATGGAAAAAAACAACACTCCACATTCTTCACTCACGGGGCCATACAAAAGCAGCCCAGCTAGGGATGGTGAGGAGTGTGTCCCCCACTTCCTGCCCCTACCTGTTTTGGGTGTTTTTTTAATGGGTATCAAGCCCTCGTTGTTATGGTTATGTTTCTAATTGCAGCCCAGGGAGACGCGGCAGGCTTCCCACCCTGCACACCAGCATGGAGACGGCGTTCCGTGGTCTGGACAGTTGGGGACCAGAGCCCCTACTGTTGTGTTAGTTTTGCTCCTCCCTTTAGACTCCGTCAGCTGGAAACCCTGGGTCCTGGGTTCTGGCGGGTTTGGGGGTTTTCTGCCCGGCTGGCCAACGGGTCATTGTCAGGGGACAGTTTTCCCACCTCGACCCCTGTCGAGGGCCCCTGGTGTGGCGTGTGTGTTTGTGGAGGGGGCCTCCTGTGCCTTGCCTCCTGTTGTTGGCCTGCTTCTAGTTTTCCCGGGTTGCAGGAGCCCTTCTTTTTCTGGTTCAAGTCCCTCGTGGGAGGTGTCGCGAGTCGCTGTCCCACATGCCTCTGTCCGGGGCACTGTGAGACCCCTGTGGCTCTCATCCCAGCTCGTCTCTTCTGTCTCACTGTCTGGGGCTCCGCTCTCCCGGCTGGCCCCCTGGCTCTGGCCGTTTCTCGAGTTTTCCATTCACGGTGCTGTGGTGGCTGCGGGCTCCGTGTCTCCTGCAACCCAGTCTCCCAGAACTATCCAGAATGTGCCTCTGCCTGCCTTTGCCCCTTCCCGCTTCATCTATGCTGCTCCTTTGAGCCCCAGGGTTCCTACTTTAAGTTCTAATCCCAGTGGAGTCATTTTTGACTAATTTATTTCGATCGAAGGAAAGTGGACTGGATGTCTCCTGAGGCAGGAGTTTCCTGGTTGTTTTCCTTTTACCTTTTGTTTCGTGTGCTCCTTTTTAGCTTATTCCATGGGATTTTGTCTGTGGCTTTCTCTGGTAGTCGCCCAAGTGTGCGGGGAGGGAAGGGGCGGTGTGGGGCGGGCACAGGGTTCTGTCGCACCTAGCCACAGGCTGAAGGACATTGGCGATCGCAGAGCCGTGCCGACCACACACACACACACACACACACACACACTGTCCCTTCTCTCACATGGCCAGGACTGTGTGTCTGCACCCTCAAGTCCCCCGCAGCCTCCCTGCCACTCCGGGGGGACAGGGGGGCTTGGCAGGCACTTGCCCAGGGCCTTGGGTAACCCCCGTTCTTTTGGATGGGGGCCCTAGGCTTTCAGGGGTGCCGGCCTCTTTGGAGAAGGGATGTGGTGTCCTGCTGGCCCGAGCCAGCTCTGCAGGTGCTGACATCCCCTCGCCCTGGTCTCAGTGGTCTTGACCGCCCTTCTTTGTGCGTTCATCTGGGTAGCGCCAGGGGTTTTCAGTTTCATCACAGCTGTGTTCCCCAGCCCCCCGCAAAAGCTCCGTGGGGCCTGGTGGAATTGGGTTTGGGGGGCTATTCAGAGCTGGTATAGGGAGAGACAGGGTCCGGAGTCAGAAGAGGCTCTGAGGGTATGGGGAGCCCCACTCTGGAGCTCTTGGGGTGCCCCTGTCTTGTTCCTTGGCTGCTCTGTGCACGTCCCTGCCCCCTAGGCCGGCAGCTTGGGAAGCCCTGGGGTTGGGGGGGAGTGAGGGAGGGGCGTGGTGCTGGGTTCTGTGGGCGGGCGGGGCCAAGGTGCTTGGGCGCAGTCCTACGGACTGTCCCCTCAGGCAGGCAGTGCCCTGGTGCCTTCTCCAGCAACCAGTCCTACTACCTGCAAAATGGCTTTGGGAGCAGGAGGTGTGGGGGCAGGGCCAGCCCCTCACTTCGTTCCCTCTTATAGGGTCCCCCACACCTTCTAACCCCGCTGCTCAGATGCCCTGAGCCCCCGGCCTGGTGCCACCTCCTTCACCTGGGGAGCGTGGCCCGTGCGACCCTCTCAGCCTTGGCCGAGGCATGCCCTCCAGGAGCTGGACCGGTGCACCCCGAAGGGAGGCAGGGTGCCTCACGTGTCTGCCGGCGACAGCCATCAGAGGGGGTTCGCCTGAGAGCCTCCCTGTAGACCCTGCTCTTGTGGAGATCCAAGGGCGTCAGGCGACAGCACGGTGCTTTCCCCAAGGGCTTGGGGTCCTAGAACTGCTGGACGTGGCTGTCTGTCACGGGCCTTTTCTAGAACCTGCCTGGGGGTGTCCACACAAGTGCAGTTTGTGCGCCCGAAGCACCCTTCTTGGGTTCTCAGCTGTCTACACAGCAGCGCCCGTGAGCGACAGGGGAGACGGGCCGGGAAGCCCGAGGCTCCCAGGAGGGGCCGACAGTTTGGGAATGACGTGTTTGCTTCATTTTGCAACCTTGGTTTCTGGCCAGCTTTCGCCTAATGGAACTGGGGGGGCGAACACGCATGGCAGGGAGCCGGAGGAAACACCACGGGCTTCTCTGTGAAGAGGGGGCGCCACCCATGTGTCTCAGGAGCCACCCAGGCTCCCAGCCCTTTGGCTCAGAACCTGTTCCTCCAGGAGAGCGTCTCCCACGCCAGAGCCACCGGCCCTCTGTTCGTGTTTGCTGCGTTTCCGGTCTCGGGTGTGTGAGCTGGCCACCTGACTCTTGAGAGTTCTCCCTCAAAATCTGAGAAAATTGTTGGGGCGCCTGGGTGGTTCAGTGGGTTAAAGCCTCTGCCTTCCGCTCAGGTCATGATCTCAGGGTCCTGGGATCGAGCCCCACATTGGGCTCTGCTCAGCAGGGAGCCTGCTTCGCCCTCTCTCTCTGCCTGCCTCTCTGCCTACTTGTGATCTCTGTCGAATAAATAAAATCTTTAAAAAGAAAATCTAAGAAAATCGTCGCTTGGCAGGCTGACCCCAGCACCCCGTTGTTACGCGGCCTCCTGCCGCACAGGGACACCCCATGTGGCTTATTGCAGTGGGGCCTCAGAGCAGGGAGAGGGCATGTCCCCAGACAGAGCCTTGACAGACCAGCTGTGTCCCCATTTACCTTAAATCAGGGATCCCAGCCTCTGCTCTGCTGACATTGAGGCGGGTCATTCCTTTGGGGGCATCCTGGGCGCCATGGGGAGCAGCCCCCTGTCGTGACAGTCACAGATGTCCCCAGATGTGGCCCAGTGTCCTCTGGTGGCAGGGTCAGCCTGGGTGGGAGCCTCTGACTTCCGCTTCCTGCCGTTACTTAGACTTGTGCTCCGGGAGTAAATCCCCGAGTGCTGACGGTGGAGGCAGCACCTTTCCGTTGTTAACTGGCAACTGGGGAATGAGTGTTTTCATGATGTCTATCGGGGACTCCTTGGGGACGGCAAATGAACTTCAGCTGTTCTGAAAGCTGCCGGCCACCGTGGCCATTGACGTGGTGTTCTTGCCTTGCTGGCCTTGAGCTGCCAGAGGCCTCGGCCTCCTGAGTTCTTGGCTGCCGCACAGAAAACAGGTCGGTCTAGTTCCTTTTCCCAAAGCTGCTGGGTGACCCACTGGACATCTTGGAAGGAGAGTTGTTGTTTGCAAACACCTTCCCAGGGCTGGGAGAGACCAGCCCTTGGCCCCGGGGGCCTTTGCAGAAGCCAGCTGGGTACCCAGGAGGCCCCGCCTGGCCCTGAGGCCTCGCCCAGCAGAGGAGGGGAAGCAGGAGGGCAAAGAGGCGAGTCGGGTGAGCTCAGTGCATACCCGGTGACCCCACTCTGGGCAGCCCTTTCCGGAAGCCCTTCCTGCAGGCCTCTGGGGGCTCTCCTGGGGTGGGGAGTGGTCGCCTGTGGGCCCTGCTGTTACTGCGAAATAGCTGTGCTGTTCCTCGGTGGGACCTTCTTGGGTCTTGTCTCCTAGGGTTTGTGGCGTTATCACTCTCCGCCTCTGGTGTCTCACCAGCTCTTCTCTGGCCTTTGCACTTAGGACTTGTCCCCTCTCTACAGTTTCTTTGTCCTTTATGGTGTCTCCTCATCTGCTCCGTCCCGTAATGGAAGGCCCTCACCGATCTTTGTTGTCCAATATCCCTCTGGCAGCCAGAGCTGTGTTTGCCCCTTGGAGGTGTCCCGGGTGGGGTGTGGTCTGAGCCCGGCTTGCGGTGCTGACTTCCACAGCCGGCGGTGTGGCCGCAGAGCGCCTGACTGGGTGAGAGCGTGGGAGCCCTGGGTCCCCCCACCTGCTTGCTCGCTTTGTGATCGCACATTTATGCATGGGGGCCTGCCCCTGGGGTCTGTGGGGTCCACTCCCAGCTCCTGGAGCCCAGGCTGAGCTGTAGAGGGCCCAGCGGGCAGCGTTGGGAGGCCAGCACAGCTGTGTTCCGGCAGGCAGTGCCCGTGGCCCTGCACAGGTCAGCTGGGAGTCTGAGGAAGGGTGGAGATGGTTCCTGGTGCCTCCGAGGTATGGGGCCCGGATGCATGCCTGGGGAGCCGCCGTCGGTCTCCTGGGGGAAGGCAGGAAGGCCGCTGACTCCCCTCTCACCTCGCAGATCATCCCCCCAAAGGAGTGGAAGCCCAGGCAGACGTACGATGACATCGATGATGTAGTCATCCCAGCACCCATCCAGCAGGTGGTCACGGGCCAGTCAGGCCTCTTCACACAGTACAACATCCAGAAAAAGGCCATGACCGTCGGGGAGTACCGCCGCCTGGCCAACAGCGAGAAGTATGTGGCTGGGCTGCGGGGTCGGGAGGGGCGGGTGTCCAGGGGGGCCCCGAGGACCCCGTCTCTGAGGTGGAACCACACCTTGAGGGCCTCTAGGTACCCTGAAGTGGGGCCCTTGGCGGCTCCAGCCTCTGGGGGTACAGAGAGAGTGGGACACAGTGGGGACTGCTGTCCTGGCCCCCAAGACAGGGCCTGGCTTCTGGTCTGGTATTGCAGAGCAGAGGGCAACCCTCAGAGCCCGTGTCCCTCACCTGCTCCAGTGGTCCCCGGTGTGTGTTCCCACTCGGGTGCCCCAGGCCCTGGTGGCTGAGGAGATGCGATGAGTGGGTATCGCTCCGGGGCGGGGCGGGGGCGTACCCCCTCAGCCCCAGATAAATGGCTCTCGCAGGGCCACATCTGCGTTCTCGTGGCTGGGCTCCAAGGTGGGGGCGGAGAGCACGTCTCCAGCTGGGCCCCGGAGGGTGGGCCCTGCGCCATGGTCGCTGTGTTGTTCGTCCTCCAGGTACTGTACCCCACGGCACCAGGACTTCGATGACCTGGAGCGCAAGTACTGGAAGAACCTGACCTTCGTGTCCCCCATCTACGGGGCAGACATCAGCGGCTCTCTGTATGACGACGTGAGTGCCCAGGGCCCCCGCCATGCACTGGGGGACCGAGGGACCCCGTTCCCTGGGAGGCGGTGGAGGGAGAGGCGTGGGAATAGGACTTAATCTTGCGGCCCAGTGCAAGATGCTGCGGCCCAGTGCCGGCCCAGTGCCATGGCCAGCTTCACTGGGTGTTCTGTCTGGGCCCTGGTGACAACCACGTGCTGAGTCTCAAGGTGAAGAAAGAAGGAATCCGGGTGTGTTTCTGATTTGCAGAATCTGTCCTGCGAGACTGTCGTCCCCCACCACCCTGATCTGAGCTCAGGCAGCCTGTAGCTGACCTCCCAGGGGCATCCTAATTCTCAGTCTGGTACTTTCTTCTCCAGTTGCTATCACGCTGTCTCTGGGGGCCTCTGGGGCCCTGAGTTCTAGCCCCTGGGCTGGGCTGCGAGGGGCCTGGGGGTACCTGGGGCAACGGAGGGGCCTCATGCTGGCCTGGGCCTGTCCAGGGACGCAGACCAGACCCTGGTGGAGATGCGATGTGGAGGCCCTGCAGAGGTGCCGCTGTTTGGCAGGACGGGGGTTTGAGTGGGACCCCCCACTTTTTTAAGGGACCGTTTATTAATACTTATGGGGCATCTGATAATCCTGGGATGGCTCTACCAAGACCCATTGATTTCTAAGCTCTTAAGCCTGCCTCTCTCCTACGTGTGTTCTGCCCTGGGGCTCTCCCTGGTGGGGGGGTCCCCAGCTGCCCTCCCTGCTGCCCCGCCCCGAGTCCTCACTCTGAAGGTATCTGTTGCTGGATCTTTCTATCCATTCATCCGTGCTCCTCGTGAGAGTAGCTGGGGCGCCTCCTGCGTCCTGGGCTTGCGGGGTGCTGGCGTGGGTGGGAACGAGGCCCCGTCAGAAGGATCAGGACCCTCCTGAACGCATTAGGACAAGCGGTGAAACGTGTTGGAAGGTGTTGGAAGGGCATGACTATCGCATGGGTCCCAGTGGTTCGCCTCGCTTGGGGAGCCTGTCTGACCTATGGCCCACTGGCCTTCCAACTATGGGGTCCCAGTTCGTGGTGGGGGCAGGTTTATTTCTCTGAGCCGGGCACCAAGGGCAGGCATGTTAGGCTTAAGGAGCTCACCCTTAAGAACCCGAGGAAGACACCCTCGCCCTGGGAGGTCAGGGACTAAGCTGACTCGTGGCCGTGGTTTCCCCTTCCTTGGACCTTGGTTTCTCCATCCACAAGAAGGGATACGGGTGGTATGTGGCTGTCCCCCAGCAAGGGTGTCCTGGACCAGGAGGTTTGGTTTCTCCCTGGGACCCTGAGCTCAACCACTTGACCTTGACCCCACAGCAATGGCAAGCTTGTGAGGTCACGTGGCATCCTGCCACGTGCACGCCTTGGGTGTGGCGAGGACAGCAGGACGGGGGCCCAGAGGCCTTGTCAGCACAGACACATCTAACGTGAGGGGGCGCAGCCCAGTCTCTCAACGCTGCCCCCGCATACCTCAGCTGGTGTGTAGCTCACCCCAGGGCCTTGAACTTTCCAGGACTGTGAGCGGTTGCCCTGTGTGTGGTTACAGACGTGTTCGCACCATGAGCCAGCTTGCCCTTGCACCTGGCTCAAAGCAGAAATTCCCGTGGCAGGCTGAGTGGGGCACAGTGGGACTGCGACGCTGGGCTTTCTGGGGCCTGACTGGGTCCATCCACCTGAGCTGTGGCTGCTGGTCCTGCCTGCCACCTCCAGATGTCAGCGCTGCCACTGCTCCCTGATCCTCTGCTGGTTTTGAGGGTTTCCCGGCCCCACAAAAGGGGCCCAGCTGCCCAAGCCCCCTTTCCCATGTCAGGCCACCAAGGACCGGAGGAACAGGTCGCAGCAGCCCCAGATCAGGCCTTGCCTCCGGCTGCATTCCAGCTGGGCTCAGGGCACCTCCCTGAAGGGCTCTGGCAGGAGGCCAGCAGTGGGGGGGTCCCTGGGTGCTGTGCCCCCTGCTCTGTGAGAGCATGAGGAAAACGATTTTCCCGAGGGCTCTGCGGAAGCCCCGTTCTTGATGTTTGTGACCTTCCGTCCTCCTCCTTGCCTCCGGGAGACCTCAGGGCTCAGTGGCTGGGAGCCTTGTCCCCATCCCCATCCCATTGTTGGTATACAGTCCCGGTCGTTGGTGCTCCTCACGCGGCCACAGCTGGGATGAAGTTCTGGTGCTCGAGGGCCGGCACTGGGCAGCCCCGTGAGGGCCTGCGGTTCGACTTCCCGGACTCTGAATCGTGACTTCTAGGAAGGGATTCCGATCCCAACAGCTGCTGGGTTAGAAGAGTTGAAGTTTCTGTGTTGCATTAGGACGAGTGGGGAAGTCACACGCCTCTTTGTCCAAAGGGCTGTTCTTGTCCATGGAGTTCAACAAAGTTAGTGCTCGCGGGGATTGGTTGCTCCTTTGTCCGTTGTCTGACCTACTTTGTGTTTTTTAAAGGAAGCACAATTGAGATGTAATTCACACGCCACCCAGTTCCCCCACGTAGAGCTTACGGTTCAGTACTTTCTACTGTATTTCAGTGAGTTGTACGGCCATCACCACAATCAATTCCAGAACATTCCATGAGCCCCCAAAGAAGCCCTTTCTCATCAGCAGTCACTCCCTGTCCCCCCGCTCCCAATACCCACGAGCCCCTTTCCCGTCTGTGGAGGAGTGTGTTCTGGGCATGTCACACATGTGTACTCACACCCCGTGTGGCCTTCTGTGTCTCGGTCCCTCCCTGAGTGCCGTGGGCTGAGGGTCCATCCCCAGGGCAGCACACAGGGGCCCCTCACTCCTGTCTGTGGCCCAGTGACCTGCTCGTGTGTGGTGGACACGTGTGCTGTCCATTCGCTTGGATCGTTTCCACTCTCTGGCCGTGGCGAGTCACATGGCTGTGAACGTGCAGATGCAAGTCTCTGTGCGGACGGATGTTTTCATTGCTCTCGGGCACGTCCCTGGGCCATCAAGTGTGTCCTCACGTGCTAAGTCCACGTTTACCTTCCAAGGAACGGCCTGCGTCCTCCCCCGGAGCGCACCCTGTTTCCTGTCCCCAGCAGCAGAGCACCTCCGAGGGCTCAGTTTCCTCCACATCCTTCCCCGACGCTTGTCACAGTCTTTCTCTTTGCCCCTGCGCGTCCTTGCGGGTGTGACGTGGTGTCCGCCCTGGGGTTTTGACCTGAGCCTGCCTGTGAGCTAACGACGTCGAGCCTCTTTGCACCTGCTGGTAAACCTCGTACTCTTGCTTTGAGGAGAAACGTCCACGTGGTTCTTCGCCGCCTTTTTAATCAGGTTATTTGTGTTTCTACTGTAGTTACGAGACCTTCGGAGATGACACAAGTCTCTGACCTGATGGGTGACTCACGCATATTTTCTCCCCTTCTGTGGGGTTTCTTTTTCACTTTTTTTTTTTTTTTAAGATCTTATTTACTTGACAGAGACAGAGATCACAAGTAGGCAGAGAGGCAGGCAGAGAGAGAGGAAGAGGCAGGTTCCCCCTGAGCAGAGAGCCCGATGCGGGGCTCGATCCCAGGACCCTGAGATCATGACCTGAGCGGAAGGCAGAGGCTTTAACGCAGTGAGCCACACAGGAGCCCCTCTTTTTCACTTTATTGATGGTGGTTTTCTTTAAAGCATAGAAGTTTTTAATTGGGAGAAACCAGATTTCTTTTTTTGTTTTCCTCAAGTGCTTCTGAGTCTGTGTTTGGGTTCCCAGCTTCTGCCTGGGGCTCACCTTGCCAGGACCATCCGTTTGTTCCAGGACCTGTAACGGGGAGGGTCCAAGTGGGATGTGGGGCAGGGTGGGCTTGGGATGCAGAGAATGCGGACGCTCGCTCAGTGTCTCCTCAGGCTTGGGGGGCTCTCCAGGGACTGGAAACCGATTGACGTGGATTTTATGAGCTCTCATGGCAAGATGGGACCTGTCTGGGCATTAGGAATAGATGAGTCCGGCGGGCAGGGGTTCTGGCCTGGTTTGCCTGGTTCTGAAAGCCATGCCTGTCTCCTCTGGCAGAAAGTGCCGGAGGGGCTGTCTGTCTGGCCCCTTTGCTGAGCTCACTCCACTCCACGGTCACCTTTCTCCTTCCATGTCATTGGCTCTGAGGCACATTAATTACTCACAACCAAACCTCAGCCTTCCCAGCGTGGCCTTCACTGCCTATGACGAATGCCTAGCTCGGCATGGCATCCGGAGGAAGCCCTGCGTGGCCCAGGCCGAGGGGCTGGTGTCTCAGGGTGGGAGGAGTCCCCAGTGGGGTTCAGACCCTGGGGCAGGTGGAGCTGTGACGTGGGCCGGGTTGGGGCTGGCCGCGACCTCTCGGGCCCTCTGCGCAGTCTGCCTTGTAGGCTTCCTGTGTTCTTGCCGGGCCCTTAGGGATGTCCCGCCACCAACCGTGTGCTCGCCGCCCTGCAGGACGTGGCCCAGTGGAACATCGGGAGCCTGCGGACCATCCTGGACATGGTGGAGCGTGAGTGTGGCACTATCATCGAGGGCGTCAACACCCCCTACCTGTACTTCGGCATGTGGAAGACCACCTTCGCCTGGCACACGGAGGACATGGACCTGTACAGTATCAACTACCTGCACTTCGGGGAGCCCAAGTCCTGGTGAGTGGCCGGCCAGCAGCTGGGCCGCAGTGAGGGGCCTGCCTGTGTGCTCCGGGGGCCGCACGGGTGAGGGGGCACCTTCTGGGGGCCTCTGGGGACAGGCTTGGGCCTGTGGCCGGGCAGGCCCAAGTCGAGGGGCTCCAGCAGCTTGTGACCCGTTGGCCCAGCCCCGTTGGCTTCAGGGGCAGCCTCGGTGGGGTATCGGGGCGCGTGTCCCCAGAAGTGAGCGTCCTGCTCCCCGGAGCTCACGGATTGCCTCTGTGGGGGCGGCGTCCGCAGCATGTCTGTGGTGCTGGGGGTGCTCCCTGGGGCCGTGGGCCTGGGGAGCGGTTGGCTGTGAGCCCTGAGCCTCCCCCCACCACCTCCCCCTCCCCCGCCCTCCTGGCCTCTAGCTTGGGGGGGGGGCGTTAGTAGCCCCCTGCTGGCAGGGCTAGAGTGGGCGCACAGCCTGAAGGAAGGCCACCCTGTGAGCGATGGGCCCTGCAGGCCAGGTGGAACATCCGGCGCCATCTGTGTTCTGGATTCTGGGAGCCGAGCACCCCCTTCCCATCCGCCTTCCCCTTCTGTGTGGGGCCGCCTCTGTACCCTGCAGTTCCCAGCAGAGATGTCTCCGCTGGTCCTTTACATCTCCTTGCCTTTTCCCAGCGGTCTTAGAAGGTTCTGTTACAGTGATCATCGCCGCCCAGAGGGAGTGGGAGGGGGAGCTGGAGCAGCCCGTGGCCTCTGGAGCTCAGCCAAGTGCCTCCGCATGTGGAGGGGGCGGGGGTGGAGAGGCCCCAGCTTAGTCGGGGACCCAGGCTGGCCCCTCACGTGGTGGAGCCTGTGCCCACAGGCGTGGGAAAAGGCCATCTCCAGCTCCTTGGAAGTCACTGGGACCTCCTAGAGCCCTTCGGTAAGGGAGGGTGGGAGCAGGCCCTCTGAGCAGAGGGCTCAGAAGCCAGAAGGAGGCCCCATGCCTCCCTGTCCCGGCGTTGGCTATGGGACCTCCCTTGGCTCCCCTCTGAGGTGGCCGCAGTGGGATCCTGGCCGTGCTGTCCTGCAGGGGCTCCTGGTCTGACAGGGAGGGCTGCGGAAGCATTGGGGGTGAACGTGTCAGAGGCTGCCTAATGAGTGACCACACACCTGGAGGCTTACCACGACTCACGCATCGTCCCTGACGTTGCTGGAGGTCAGGAGTCTGACTCAGGTTGCACCGGGCTAAATGCAGGCCTGAGCAGGGCCGGTTCCTTCCAGAGGCTTCAGGGGAGATCTGGCTCCTGCCTCCTGCTGGCCTGGGTCTCCCCCCTCCCACCCCCACCCCTGCCCATCCTCACCTCCAGCAGCGCAGGGTCTGCCCATCTCTGGGACACCCACTCTCTGCTTCCCACTCATGAGGGCCTCTTGAGGACGCCGGGCCCACCAGGACCCCAGGGTCACCCCCGCCTTGGGGGCCTTGACTTCATCCCCCCCGCAGAGTCCCTTTACTGCGTAAGGTGACATTGTTAACAGACTCTGGTGGTGAAGCCGAAGGCATCTTTGGGGCCGCCGTCCTGCAGGCCATGGGCCCTCTGACCTTGGCGTTGCACTGTATTGTTAACCTTGTGCGTGTGTTGGGATCCTGGTAGGATTCCGAGCGCTTCTCGCTGTCAGTTCACTTGTCTCTGTGGCTTTGCTGCAGCTCTGGGTCATCGTGGCCTCTGGCTGGGGGGTACTTACCTTGTAGGAGGCATTTGGAGAGAGATCGATGGGGTTGGTGATGCCTGTTGCAGGAAGGCCCGAGTCTCACACCCCGTGTGGTCCTGAGTGCGTGAGTGGAGGTGCGTTCTGGTAGGCAGTGTCACCCCAGGGCTGCCCAGCAGGGCCCAACAACAGCTTGGTTACCCCGTCCCCTCCCCTCGTCTTGATGGCCAGGTCAGGCTGCAAGACCGTGAGGCCCTAGTCCAGGCCCGTGGGGAGGGGCTGTGCTCCGGCCCGACCCCGCAGCGGTGAGCAGGGCCTGGTGGTGCAGCTGGCGGGGTGAGATGCTTGTGCCCCTTCCCTGGGAGCTCTGCTTGCCGGCTCCCAGCACTTCGTGTCCTCCCCGTGGGCCGGGGCAGGCTGAGTACCGCCAAAGAGCTTTCTGGTCCACAGGCTGGGGTGTGTGCAGTGTGTGTGTGCATGTGAGTGTGAGAGTATGTGCGAATGTGTGAGCATGCATATGTGTGCATGAGAGTGTATGTGTGCATATCCCTGTATGTGCATACGTGCTTGTGTGTGAAGGTGCGTGAGTTCACGTGTGTATGTCTGAGCATGTGCGGTCGTGTGTGATGTCTGAGTGCGTGTGTGCTGCGGTCCCAGCTCACTGGTCTGGATGGCTCCTAGTGCTGCCCCCGCCACCTCACCCCCCCCACCCCGGGGAGGGGCTGGAGGGCAGGGGGTGTCTGCTCTCAGCACCGGGTTCTGATCCCAGCCCCGTGCGGCTCCCCCGAGCACCACTAGATGGCGCTCCCACCCTTCAGCCCTGGCTGCTGCTGCCTGCGCCCGTGGAAATTTCCCAGGTTCTTCCATCCTTTCTGTGGACTCCTGGACCCCAGCAGTGATGGCCCCAGAGGCTCCCTGGGAGCGGCAGCAGGAGGAGAGTGAAGACTGCCCCGGTGGGTAGCGGGAACACTCAGCGCCCCCACTGCGGACGCCCTCATTTTGGCCTGGGTCTGCCGGCCAGAGGGACCGGAAAGGGAGAAAACTCAAGTTTTCCTTAGAACACAGAACAGAACACACGAAAGGAGCCCCAGCAGAATGCTGGCCCCTGCCAGCCGATGGCAGGCTCAGCTTTAGCCGTGGCCCTGCCTGAGGATGCCGTGGCCTCGGGCGGCTTGGGGCGAAGTGTGAGCTTGTGATGGGCAGCGACGGTCACAGAGAGGGTGACTTGGGAAGTGGCCTGGAGAGTCCAGGGAGGCGAGGGCGAGGGCACTAGGAACATGAAGGGTAGCAGCCCCTGGCTGATGGGGCGGCTAACAGGCAGGACTGACTTCTCTGCGCTCGCCTCCGACCTCTGGCGGCTTGGGGTTGAGGCTGCAGCCCCAGCTCCCCTGTCCCCTCCTGTCTACCCACCCCCCGCTTCTGCCCCTTCACTCCCACGCACTCCTGAGAGCCCTGGGGCAGCAGTCGGCAAGGCTGGCATCGGGCATGGCAGCGGTTCATCGGAGGGAAAGAATGTTCTGGAAGGCAGCTTGACCTTGGTCTTGGTTTCTGGTCCTGAAGAGGGAGGGGATCACACACGGGGTGCCTCATGCTGACGGAGTGTGGCCGGTGGGAAGAGGCTCTTCCATGCAGGCTTCTTGCCCCCCACCCCAGCGGCTCAGCTCAGGCACCCTCTCCCCAGGACCCGGGTGGGGGCCCCAGATGTTGACAGGGCACCCCACGCTTGTACTAGCTATGTGTGACCTTGGCGTATCTCCTTGTCAGATAGTGGACCCAAGGAGGGTAGGGCCCTCAGTCTCCCCCTGCCCCACCCTGGGTCCCTAGTCCCCAACAGGGGCCTGGCGCAGAGAGGGGGCTCTGTGCCTCTCTGGGTCCTAGAGGGCCAGTGCCATGTCTGTGGGAACCGGTCCTTGGGGCTGAGACCCCTCTGGGTGCCCCGCCACCAGAGCCTGGGGGTAGGGGCAGCCCCTCTGGCCCCTGGGCTGGTGGTTAGGGAACCGCTGGGTGGCGCCCCGGCTCCTGGCCCTTGTCTGGGGCCTTGGTGCCTGCGCCCCCCCCCCCCCGCCCCCTGCAGATTGTGCTCACACGCCCGCCCGTCCCTCTGATTGCTCGTTCCTCCGGCAGCGGCTTAATTGCAGCCATTTCCGAGTATTTCGGTAGCGTCGTTTTTTTTTTAAGTGTCGACGTTCTCAGGTTTACAGCGGTTTATGGAGCCTTCCTGGGTCTGTTGCTACTTTGGGAGCGTGATTTGTGTGTCACAGCGGCGTGAACAGCCGGGCGTCGATGAAAGCGAGGAATTGCTTCAGAAGGCCGGCATTGGGTGGTGCTCTCAGGCAGCAAAGGCTAAGAATATCTGAAGCATTTGAGTGCTTCAAAATCCCTTTTGAGATGGGGATTTAAAATAGACCTGCTGCTTGCAACTCAGCCACTCCCTGGCCTTCCTGGGGCCAGTGAGGCCGGGAGGGCAGTCCTCGGAGGCTGGTGGGGAGGGCTGTGTGATTCCACCCGGGTTCAAACAGCTGGGCCTTCTGGGAAGCGCTGGGGGCGGTGGACCACCTGCCATCCCAGGCCCTCCCAGGCCATCCCAGAGCCCCTGGGACTTGCTGAGCTGGAGGCGATGTCCCACCGCCCGTCCCAGGACCGCTCTGCCAGACGGCCGCCGCAGTCCTTCCCCGCACGCTGTAGCCACGGTGGGTCCCAGGCCTTGTGAGTGTGCCATGGGGGGGCTGTAAGATGATGGGAACGGCACCCCCACCTGGCATGGCGTCTTGCTCAGATCCAGACCGAACACAGTGTTCCCGACAGCGTCCCCTCTTGTTATCTCTGTGGCTTCCTTGTGCCCAGCAGGGGCGGGGGCAGGGGGTGGGGTGGGGGAGGGAGAGTGGGGGGAGGACAGGCCTCCCAGGGGCCTCCTGAGGGCCCCTGGGGTGGTGGCGGGGACAGCCAGTGTTACCCGCAGGGCTTTCGTCTGGGCCCTGACCCTGGCCTTCAGGCCCGTGACTCAGCAGCATCCCCTGGTCCCGGAGACTCCGGCTGTGCTCTGAAGGCTTCCCCAGCCTTCCCTGCCCGCCTGCTTCTGTTGGCCTGGGATACGTCTCTCAGGTCCTCCTGGCGCCCCACGGCAGGGAGCACGTCCTCAGACCCGCACGTGTGCCTGCACGCACGTCTGCCTGCCCCACGTGTGCAGTGCACGTGCGCTCACTCGCCCAGGCGTCCCGCGTGGGGGCTGGGGGGAGCCTTGGGGAGGGAGCTGCTCCCACAAAGGGCATGGAGCCTCCCTGCCCGCTGGCTCGTTCAGTGTCCTGGGCACCAGGAAAGGATCCTTGCAAGCAGAGTCCAGG